ACTCACCTCAGCCTCCCAAGGCACGGGATTACAGGCTGAGCCACTGAGCCCGGCTTCTCATTCAGTTTTAATAAATTTGTACAAGTCAAAAAAAAAAAAGGTCTGGGCACAGTAGCTCAAGCCAGAAATCCCAGCACTTTGGGAGGCTGAGGTGAGGGGATTGCCTGAGTCCACGGGTTCAAGAATAGCCTGGGCAACCTGGCGAGACCTCATTTCTACAATAAATCAAAAAGTTAGCAGGGATTGGTAGCACTCACCTGTAGTTCTGGCTACTTAGAAGGCTGAGGTGGAAGGATTGCCTGAGCCCAGCAGGTAGACGCTGGGGTGAACATGAGCGTGCCACTGCACTCCAGCCTGGGTGACGGAATGAGACTCCAACAAATAAAATAAAATAAAATAAAATAAATAAAATAAAATAAAATAAAATAAAAAAGATTTATCCCATTTCTTTTCTTCCAGACTCATCCCTGTGAGCCTATCTAGATCTGTGGAGACTGGGTTTTCTGCTTGCCAGAACAACTGTCATACCTTATGTGCAGTTTTTGGTCTTTCAATAGTCTTTATTTTTTTTTATTGAACACTCTTCAGTTTTTAAAATGTTAAACTTATTTAAGAGTTTTAATGACATGTTCTATAGAAAAGCCATCTTTTGTATTTCTGCTAAGAAAAATATATTTCTAGCATTTCTCACATATGAACCAAAGGGGCAATTTGTTTTTTTGAGTCGGAGTCTCACTCCGTCGCCCAGGCTGGAGTGCAAGTGGCCTCAACCTGCTGGGCTCAGGTGATCCTTCTGCCTCAGCCTTATAAGTAGCTGGAACTAAAGGCATGCGCCACCATACCCAGCTAATTTTTTTATTTATTGTAGAGACGAGGTCTTGCCATGTTGTCAGGCTGGTCTCGAACCTCTGGGTTCAGGCAATCCTCTCAGCTCTGAAAAGGGACAATTAGCTTTTGACAACGCCAATGGCTTACAACTGTCGTTATAATTCACATGTATTCACATGGATCCACAAACAATAAGAAAGTCTTTACATTTTCTAAAACGATCAAACTGACTAATTTTTCTTGATTTATTGTAGAGATGAGTTATCGCCAAGTTGCCCAGGCTGGTCTCGAATCCTGGGCTCAGGCAATCCTCTCTCCTCGGCCTCCCAGTGCTGGGATTATAGGCGTGAGCCACCGCGCCCGGCCAAGTACCATCTTTTAATTCTCCTTACAACCCTATGCAGCAGGTATTACTATTAATAATGAGAAACATAGTCAAAGACCTCCAACCAGTGAATAACGGAACTGAGATTCAAGTCCTCAGAGCATCCGCTGTTTGTTTCTTCGGGGCTGGGATGGGTGAAGGGAGGGTGCATAATCCACTCCTTGCAGGGCGCACAAGCAGGAAGTGGCTACAGTCTCGCCGTGGTTTCTGCTTTTGCTCTCCAGCGGGGCCCGGCGCCGCGCGGCTGCTCCGCCAGTGGCTGCCAGCTCTGGCAAACCGGCTTCGCCTGTCGCCTGCGGCTCGAGCGTGGTTTCCCTCCTGCGCTGAGCCAGGGACACCCCGCCTCTCTGCCAACCCCGATTCTGGGGTCCGCCCGCATCGGACCCATCCCTGAAACTCAGCTCAGGGCGCTTCGCTGCGCGCTCCGGGAAGCAGCGGCCGCTCATCCTCCACCCCCGGTTCCGTTTCCTGAAAACATCTTTCCTAAGTCTAAAGCGCCAGAAGCAGCAAACACGAGCCGGGAGCAGGGTAGGCCCAGCTTCCGCGGGAATTCTGCCGGGCGGTCGCGGCCGGGCCGGAAGGCGTCACGGGGCCGGCAGACCCGGCGGGCGGGATCGGGAGGCGGGGCGGGCGCGGCTGGGCGGGACTGGGAGGCGTGTCCCCCTAGGCACCGCCCAGATCGTGCGTAATTTGGCGGCAAACTCCACGGGCTCGTCTCACCGCGGGAGTTATTAATCTCGCGAGAAGTGCGTTTCGCCCGTCCCCGAGTCCCGCGGAGAGTTCCGCACAGCGTCTGTAGTGTCTGCAGCGGTGAGCTCGGGCTGTGGGTGAGGGCCCCGAGGGAGGGAGCGTGGGGAGCTGGATGGAGTGGCGGAGAGGAGGGTGCCACGGTGGCTGGAGCGTGGGGCAGAGGCTCACGGCGGCAGTAGCGAGATCCGGGGGCACTGCCCTCCGTGGGGCCCTGTCCGTCGACGGAGCGCCCCTCACGCATCGCCGGCCCTGCGCAGCGGTGTGGACTGGGAAGGGGTATTCGCTTTTAGGGACGCGGGGCCCCAGCCCGCGGGGCGTTTGACGGCGGGGACGCGCCTCTCCCGGCGTGGTGCGGGGGCGGTGGAGGGCGTGGGTCCCACGACGGGCGGAGACGCCGCCTACCTTCCGGGACCCGAGGGCTCCGGCTGTGCCTGGCCACACGCCCGTCGGAGCCCGGGGCTCGGGAGCGGGAAGCGTGTGTCCTGGCGCTCTTCTGCCCCGCCCCCAACACGAGGGCTCCTGCCGGGACGTCCCGGGCCCGCCACCGCGCCGTGATCCCAGGCTGGACTGGGCCGCGTGAGGCCCGAAGGAGAACAGAGCCAGGGGAGGCGTTCCAGATGAAGTTCGAGCTCGCAGCGGGGAGGCCTCGACAGCCCCCAGCTCTCAGAAGTCCAGCTGCAACGTGGAAGACGGGTGGAAGCAGGAACCCGAGATGGTCGTTGAGGAGGGGTGCGGAGCGGACAGGCAGGCAGGAAGAGGTGCCAGGCCATGTTAGGATTCCCACGCCGGTCAGGGCATTGGGAAAGACCGGAGCCCTGGGCCTCCCAGAGGCGGAGTGGAGTGGCGACAGGAGCCAGGCAGGGCCGCAGGAAGTGGTACCAGCGCGTCATTGCGAGTAAACGAGGATTCATGAAGAAGAGTGCCTGGGATGGAGTCGGGGTGCTTCACCACCTCATTGGAAGATGACCCTGCAGGGAAGACCTGGAGGCGCGTCCAGAGAGGGAATGAGCCAGGGGAGCGATGGTGGCTTACAAGCCAAGGAAGAAGGATGGACTGGCTTATGTTGCTGAGGCACCGACTAAGGTGGAACTGAACGTATTCTTTCCAGCTCTACACGAGGACAGTTCCGCTTTATTCAAAGGAAACCTTGCCTGAAGACCAGCATGTAGGTGGACTTTTTAGAAAGCTAGCCTCCTTGAAGCAGAGGAAGGACCTGGACACACCCTTCTGGGTCACAGCTTAAACCATCTGAAAAGCCAGTCAGCATTTTATAGTTGGGGAACTCAGTAGGTGAGGAAAATTAATTTGTTTGTGATGGTAATTGTACAATTTCCTCCCCAGAGGGAAAGATGTTAGACCCACAGGAGAATGGCGTTATTGACCTGCCCAACTATGAATATGTGGAAAGTGAAACTTTTCCTCCTTTCCCACCTCCAGCCTCTCCAGAGAGAGACAGAGAAGGAATGGAACCTGATGAAGGTCTGTAGAGAGTGTCACAAAGTGGCCCATGCTCAGTTCTCTGTGTATAAGTTTAGAAGTGACACGTTTTACAAATAAGCTTGTATGACCTGAGTATAGCAGTACTGAAGTGTGGTATGTTTCTCCAGAGTCAGGGAGGGCAGCACCTGTTCCTGTACCCCCAAAGAGAACAGTTAAAAGGAATATACCCAAGCTGGATGCTCAGAGGTACGTTTACTATTTGATTATACATTTTCTTTATTAATTTTTTTGAGTCGATGTCTTATTCTGTCACCCAGTCTGTAGTCTAGAATACAGTGGCACAATCACAACTCACTGCAGCCTCAACCTCCTGGGCTCAAGTGATCCTCCCACTTCAGCCTGCTGAGTAACTGGTACTACAGGCATATGCCTCCATACCCAGCTAATTTTTTGATTTTTTGTAGAGAGGAGGTCTCACTATGTTGCCTAGGCTGGTCTTGAACTCCAGGGCTCAGGCAGTCTTCCGCCTTAACCTCCCAAAGGTGCTGAGATTACAGGCAAGAGCCACTATTCATGGCCTACATTTTCTTTATATTCGTTGTTTTTTTTATTTTTTTATTTGAGTTGGAGTCTCACTCTGTTGCCCAGACTGGAGTGCAGTGGCCGCTCCCGGCCACCGCAGCCTCGACCTGCTGGGCTCCGGCGATCCTTCCGCCTCAGTCTTCCAAGTAGCTGGAACTACAGGTGTGCGCTACCACGCCCAGCTAATTTTTTGATTTATTGTAGAGATGAGGTCTCACCAAGTTGCCCAGGCGGGTCTTGAACCCGCGGGCTCAGGCAATCCACTCACCTCAGCCTCCCAAAGGCACGGGATTACAGGCTGAGCCACCGAGGCCAGCTTCGTTGTTTTTCTTCTAATGTTATGAGCTTTGGTTGGGATAATTTGGAGATCTGATACTTTTAAAAACTTTCTTTTTAGTTCAGAAAATATATTTTTATGGTATTGGTTTGGACATGACTGGAAAACTTAAAAGTTCAAAACATATTTATGTTCACAGATTAATTTCAGAGAGAGGGCTTCCAGCCTTAAGGCATCTGTTTGATAAGGCAAAGTTCAAAGGTAAAGGTCATGAGGTAAGAAATGGCTGATTTTTATCTTAGATTTTTGTTTTTGAAAATAGTAAAACTGGGCCTATTCTTGGGAATCTCAGAATGCTTTATAAATACAGTTGTTAATCATTTTCTCTATTGAGGAACAGTTGTAATGTAGTGAAAGGTCACTGTATGAAGAATTAGAAAGCTTGTCTTGGGTTCCTTCATTTTTGCCACTTGAACTATATAGCTTTAGGCAAGTCACATCTAGATTTCCTTTTTTTTTTTTGAGTGAGTTGGGGTCTCACTCTGTCACTCAGGCAGGAGTGCAGTGGTACAGTCACAGCCACCATAGCCTCAACCAGCTGGGCTTAGGCGATCCTTCTGCCTCAGTATTCCAAGTAGCTGGAACTATCGGCATGCGCCGCCATGCCAGGCTAGTTTTTTGACTTACTATAGAGATGAGGCCTCACCAAGTTACCCAGACTGGTCTCGAGCTCCTGGTCTCAGGCAGTCCTCTCACCTCCACCTCCCAAAGTTCTGGGATTAGAGGCGTGAGCTAGCATGCCTGACTGTATCTGTTTCTACATCGCATTTTGTGCTTTATAATTTAGAGAAATAAAATTTGCTTTATCTACCCCAAAGACTGATTTTAAGTTTCATGAGGGCAAGGACTCTGCCTGTATTGATCACTTATGTGTCCCCAAGGCATAACACACAGTGCCTGGTTCATAATAGGCATCAGTAAGGTGTGGCGGCTCATGCCTGTAATCTCAGCACTTTGGGAGGCCGAGGTGAGAGGATTGTCTGACCCTTGGGTTCGAGGTCAGCCTAGGCAACTTGGTAAGACTTCATCTTTACAATAAATTAAGAAAAATTAGCCGGGTGTGATGGCTCATGCCCATAGTTCAGCTGCTTGGAAGACTGAGGTGGAAGGATCATCTGAATCCAGCAGGTCGAGGCTGCGGTGGCCATGAGCATGCCTCTGCACTCCAACTTGGGTGAAAAAGTGAGCCTCCGACTCAAAAAAATTAGCCAGGCGTGGTGGTGCATGCCTGTGGTTTCAGCTACTTTGAAGGCTGAGGCAGAAGGATTGCCTGGGCCCAGCAAGTCAAGGCTGCGGTGGCAGTGAGCGTGCCACTGTACTCCAGCCTGAGCGACAAAGTGAGATTCCCAACTCAGAAAAAAAAAGGAAGACATTTAGTAGCTGTCAATCACTGTACAGATGCACATTTTAAAATTCTCTTGCATCATGAGGGAGAGCAGAAAGAAAATTGTCTTCGAATCATGTAGGAGTGTAGATATAATTTTTGCAGATAAAGTGTTTTAAATATATTCTTTTGTTTTTAACCTGTGGGGTAGGTGTGGCTCCCATAGTGAGTACTTCTTAGATGTGGCATGAAGGATACCTGGGCAAGGAGAAGGCACTGGAGGCAGAAGCAGCACAAAGACTGGCAACATCCATAGGATGAGGTGATATTAGCCTGGTGGGTTAGTAGCAGAGAGATGGACACATGAGACTTGTAATGATTGGATGTAAGTAAAACATAATCCCAAGACTTCAAATCTGGGAGGCTGAAAAGTTGTCTATTTACTCAGCTCCAGTGAATGTGAGAGAATATAACCCTATAATCTGTTTTGCCACAACACTAAACAAATTAGCTTTTTTTTTTTTTTTGAGTCAGAGTCTCACTCTATCACCCAGGCTAGAGTACAGTGGCGTGCTCATGGCCATCACAACCTTGACTTGCTGTTCAGGTAATCCTTCCATTTCAGCCTTCCAAGTAGCTAGAACTACAGGCATGTGTCACCACGCCTTGCTAAGTTTTTGTTTATTGTAGAGATGAGGTCTTGCCATGTTGCCCAGGCTGGTCTCGAATTTGTGGCCTCAGGCAATCCTCTTGCCTCTGCCTCCTGAAGTGTTGGGATTACAGGTATGAGCCACCACTCCAAGCGCCAGATTAGGATATTTTAAAAACCATACCCAGTTTTATTGCTCTTGTTAAATTTTTTTCTTTTTTTGGAGTTGGAATTTCACCCTGTTGCCCAGGCTGGAGTGCGGTGGCATGCTCAAGGCCACTGCAGCCTCAACCTGCTGGGCTCAGGCAATCCTTCTGCCTTAACCTTCCAAGTAACTGGAACTATAGGCGTGTGCTACCACACCCGGCTTATTTTTTGATTTATTGTAGAGACAAGGGCTCACCAAGTTGCCTAGGCTGGTCTCAAACCCCCGGGCTCAGGCAGTTCTCTCACCTCGGCTTCCCCAAGTGCTGAGATTACAGGTTGAGCCATCGCGCCTGGCCAAAATTTTTATGTAGTAGTGATGTATTGGTGCTTTGAACTTACAAGGTCCTAGTCATATTCATAATAAGCCCTTATTAAAATAAGTAGGCCAAGGAGTTTGAGAGCAGCCTGGGCAACAAAGCAAGACCTTGTCTCAACAAAAAAAATTAGCCAGGTATGGCGGCCTGAGTCTATAGTCCCAGCTACTCTGGAGGGGGAGGTGGAGGGATGTCCTGAGCCCAGGAGGTTGAGGCTGCGGTGAGTCGTGATCATGCCACTGCACTCCATCCTAAACAACAGAGAAACTCTGTCTAAAAAACAAAACAAAGAAACTCAAAATAAGTAGGCCCAGAATAGTGGCTCACACCTGTAATCCTAACTCTTGGGAGGCCAAGGCGGGAGGACTGCTTGAGCCCAGGAGGACTGCTTGAGCCCAGGAGTTCAAGACCAGCCTGAGCAACCTCACCCCTATGAGTATGACTGTCGTGGCATGCACCCGTTGTCCCAGCTACTAAAGAGGCTGAGGTGGAAGGATTGCCTGAACCTATTGTACCATTGTACTCTAGCCTAGAGTACAGTGAGATCTCGACCAAAAAAAAAATGCTGAGTTGATAGTCATTTCTTCATTGAGTGAGGCTCTGAGACTTGACTCTAACTAATCTTCTGTACTTTGCCCTTGAAAAGTCTACTTTCTCACAATATGGAATCCTCACCACTTTTTTCTCCATGTATACCCTGGGGCTCACTCTAGTTTTTCTCTTGTGTTCCTTGGGTCTAACGTGACATTGTGAGGTGGCTACTTCCAACAACTGGAAAATATCCAAAGGGAAGAATGAGAAGACTTTGTATTCTTAGTGTTACACACAGTGTTTAGTCATTGGTAGTAGAGTTGATTGTCTTGACCATTTACTTATGGACTAGGTAAAACAACAGTGCTAACGTTTGTGTTTATGTTTATTCTTTGTCAGGCACTTTACTTGTATTAATCCTTATAATAACCCTATGAGGTATGTATATTATTATTATTTTTTTTTGAGTTGGAGTCTCACTCTGTCACCCAGACTGGAGTGCAGTGGCCGCTCCCGGCCACCGCAGCCTCGACCTGCTGGGCTCTGGCGATCCTTCCACCTCAGCTTTCCAAGTAGCTGGAACTACAGGCGCACGCTACCACACCCGGCTGATTTTTGATTTATTGTAGAGATGAGGTCTCGCCAAGTTGCCCAGGCTGGTATTGAACCCACGGGCTCAGGAAATCCACTCACCTCAGCCTCCCAAAGCGCGGGATTACAGGCTGAGCCACTGAGCCCGACTATATTATTTTCTTTTCTTTCTTTCTTTTTTTTTGGAGTTGGAGTCTCACTCTGTCACCCAGAGTGGAGTACAGTGGCACACTCCTGGCCACCGCAGCCTCAACCTGCTGGGCTCCTGCGATCCTTCCGCCTCAGCCTTCCAAGCAACTGGAACTATGGGCGTGCACTACCACACCCAGCTAATTTTTGATTAATTGTAGAGATGAGGTCTCGCCAAGTGGCCCTGGCGGGTCTCGAAGCCGCTGGCTCAGGCAGTCCATTCACCTCGGCTTCCCAAAGCACTGGGATTACAGACTGAACCACTGAGCCTGGCCTTGTATATTATTTTCATTTTGTTTTATTTTTCATTTTAATTTGAGTTGGGGTCTTACTCTGTCATTCAAGCTGGACTCCATTGGCATGTACATGGCTTACTGCAGCCTCGACCTAGGCTCAAGCAGTCCTCCCACCTTAGCCTCCCAAGTAGCTGGGAATATAGGCAAGCACCACCATGCCTGGCTAATTTTTCATAGAGATGAAGTCTTGCTATGTTCTTAGGCTGGGCTTGAACTTCTAGGATCAAGCAATCCTCCTGCCTGGCCCTGCCAAAGTGCTGGGATTATGAGTGTGAGCCATCATGTCTTAACTTTCCCAATTTTTAAAAACTTGTATTCTGTTTACACTGCAAATCTCTAAGGCCTTAATAAATATTCTTCTTAAACTTCCTTCTAAAAGTTTTCAACCTTGTAAAATGACAGCAGTGACTTCAGCATTGCTTTTCAATTTTCAGTTTTGCTGACAGGGTTAGTTGTGGAATGAGTCTCCTTTTTAGCATTTTTATTTTTATGTGCCAGGCTGAAGACTTGAAGACGTTAATCAGACATATGGAGCACTGGGCACATAGGCTGTTCCCTAAACTGCAATTTGAGGATTTTATTGACAGAGTTGAATACCTGGGAAATAAAAAGGAAGTTCAGGTAAGTGTTGAGATTATCGTGAATATCACTCACAATGCTAAATAGTTCAAGGGTAAATTTAGTTGTTGCTAAATTGCTGCTTGGGGGCTTCATTTTGAAATCTGCCTTGATAGAGAGGGATTTTTTTGTGTTTTTTTTTTTTTTTTTTTGGT